CGGAGGACATCAACGTTTTTTCCTCACGACGGCAGGTCACGCACAATCAAGCTTAATCCCGGAGTTTCTAGATTGCTCGCTCTCGACCCGACCAATTGGGAAGCAGAACAGGAAGCCCAATTACGTCGACAATTACAACACTTGGGTGCTCTTGAGTTGGATGAAGTAGGAGTTGGTGAGAGCAAAGAAACCCCAGCCATTCATCATCACCAAAGACATCTTAAGTAAGCACTTTGTTTCATCATGATATCCTATCTAAGAAAGACAAGAATATTCATATTTGAGGGTTTTCAACCGTTCCATCAAATTTATATTATGATGACAATGAAAGATATTCATTTGAATCCAATAGAACAATTTCATTGGATGAGAAACATGATAAATTGTTTTGGTGAGGTAAAACCATAAGAATCAAATGTTTTCTTTAGTGATTGTTTTGATAATTCAAGTGTTTCTAGATGTTTATGAGATTTCTTTCTTTTTTGAAATCCCGTCGTCATTCTTCAATCATCATCATTATTATTATACATATGAACAAAGAACCCTCAATTCAAACAAAACTGGATAAAAATCTACCTCGTCAATCCCCTTATCATCAAAACTTTTGATCATCAAGACTTTGAATATCAACTGCAAATCAGAGCCATAGCCCTCTGGCTCCTAATAACCAATCCCGATCTGTTTACTCGATCATAATCAAGATCTTTGCTCAATTCAAACCAAGTCATTTACTCGATCATAATCAAGATCTTTGCTCGATTCAAATCAAGTCCTTTACTCAATCCAAATCAATCTGTTCACTAAATCAAAATCGAGCTTCCCATTGATATGCTTCCTGAATCTGAGTCCAGTTCTTTCCACCGATCAAAATCGATGCCTTCAGTCAATCAAGCTCACCATTTTACTCAATTGAAATGTTTGCGATGGATTTGTGCTTTGCAAAGGTGAGCTCATCATTCACAGACTTGAAAGCTTGCCATCTTGAAATCATCACCAGCATCACGCTCTGAATGGGTTAAATGTGCAAAGGCATTCGGAAATCACTTATCGCCAGAGGCTTACTGTCATCACTTCTACTGTCAACAATGCAATCCGAGTTGACTACATCAATCTTACCATAATATTTCATTGCATCAAAAACTTTGCTGCTGTACACACCCATCATGGTCTCTAGCAAGGATGGATCCAAAGCTTGAGCAAATCCTAGCCTGTGTTATGTTACGTGAAGAACGTATGCCAGGCAAAGCAAACTCAACCACTACTCCAATGTATGCCAAATATCAGGAATTATGTATCATGCACAACCTCAGGAATCCACATGTGAAGTTTACCTAGATCATTGCACAAACAGTAGTGATCTACATTTTTATATGATTGATTGCCAACTGGCTCAATCTTTCAGTTTCAAATTGAATATATGCTCTTCTCTATCATCAGATCATTTGGGCTCTTAC